AACGCGATTGCCCAAAAGTACTCACCCATCGAGCGATACAGATAAGCGCATATTCAGAGACTTTTTAACTTTTGCGAAAAGTAAACAAGCGGGAAAAAGATGGCGGGGAAGAGGGACAAGGACAAAGAGAGACTGTTAAAAGCGAAACCAGAGTCCCCGAGACCAGAAACGACCAGTGAGACTACGAAGGCTATGACTGAAGTCATGCGCCCTCTGCTGGAACAGCTCAATGTTTTTAAAGAACAGATGGTGGCAGTGACGGCAAACATCACAGCGCAGCAAAAACAGCTCTCAACTGTTACAACAAACATCACTGCCCAGCAAATGCAAATAACGGACTTGATCCAAGTAATGAAGCAGGATGCAGAAAAAGTAAAGGAAATGGCAGTGACAACGCATAAAGTGAGGAAGAAAGTGAAAAATTTGGAGAAGAAAACTGATTCTTTGGAAGATCAGATGCTACAAGTTCAAATGGATAAAGCCAATATGGTCCTTCGCTTCCAGGGAGTGCCAGAAAATAGAGGGGAGAATCTTAAAGAACTTATGAGTGATTTACTTGCCCCAGTGACAGAGATAAAAGCGGATTTATTGCTCAACGACATGGATGTGGCCTATAGGTCATATTCAGGATATATAAAGAAGAACAATCTGCCTGGGGAAATAGTGGTAAGATTCTCGAAGAGGCACGTCAGGGATGCTATCCTGAAAGCTGTTTCTGGGACCCCACTGAAGGTGGGGGAGAATGAGGTCAGAACGCTAAAGGATATTCCATTTGAAGTGAGACAACGCAGGAAGAAATATAAAGAACTTATGTGCTTCCTCCAAACAAACTCAATTGGATATAAATGGCTGTTTCCAGAAGGAGTAACATTCAAGATCAAGGAGAAGAAGGTCAAGATTGACTCTGTTCTTAAAGCTCAAGAGTTCCTAAACGAGCAGCTGGGAAGGTCAGAGGATGGGGAAAAAAGAAGAGGACGATAGGTCCAGTGGTGAGCTGGAAACTGGTTCATCTGGTGAGGACTCTTTGTCGGAGAAAGGGGCAGCAGCCCCGGAAAGTCCCTACAAGTTACGGAAGAGAGAGAAAAAGAAGTAAAGGCTGAAGGACTCTGAATTGTGCCTTTGAGAACTTTGGTTCTAGGGGGAGGATGGGGGGGGCACGGTATTGGGCAAGAAAATTTGAAAGGGGAGGGTAAAAGGGCCACGGTTCACTAGCAGTATAGCGATGAAAGACTCTGGATTTTGAAGAAAAAGTCATTTGGAAGATCTCCTATCTTGGGTTTTTAGTCAGTAGTGGGTTCTTTGCTTTCTCCCATATATGTAGTCCCCTTCCCCCTTTTTTCTGTTAGTTATTTGTAGTGTAAAAAAAATAATAATAAAAAACTCCCTTCCGGGGGAATCAAAAAAAAAAAGAGAGAAAGGAGGACTTATAAATACTGCTAAATAAATAAGTTTGTAAAGACTTTTTTATTGACATTATCTACAGTATTGGGGAACTGACCATTACTAGGGCCAAATAATTGGTTTGGTACTAATCAACAAAGAAACCTGAATACCGAGGATTATCCAAATGCAAAGGATTATCTAAAAAAGTCACCTGTGGCTGGCTCACAACATGTTGTAGATTATTCTAAGGCCACAAAAATATAAATCCCATTTAGCTCCCAAAATAGCACATATATTGCATTACATGGGAGAAACAACTTATTTGCCACTTATAAATGTCCTGTAACATAAATCTGCAAGAGGAAAAAATTACTAGCTGATTCATTTGCTAGAGCATAAAAAATTCAGGTCACCAAAATTACAGATTTTTTTCCACATAGTATTCTCTGAACTGACATGTTAAAAAAAACTTGCAAATGCTGAGTACCAGCATAACAAATTCTGTTACTGAAACTAACCAAGTTTTAAGCCTATCCATAAAGGAAGTGGGAGATAATGTGTATATAAGATTAAAGGTACTCTCACAAATGTATGTAAATAACAGGAATGCTAAAGAACTCCCACACTATAATAGTGAGACTCAATTTATGGTGGGGTGTATTATATATTCTGTCCCACTGAATATTGCAGAACAGAATGGCTAGGATCCTCTGAGCAACTTCTGAGCAACTTAGATAGTTGCTGCTGCAGAATGCACTTCCTATTCTGTTAAAACTTCCATTTGTACAGGGAGCCACTGAAAGAAATCAATCTTGTACAAAATGGAAGCTTTGAGGAAGCGTGCTCCATAGGATCTAAGCCGGGGTGTCAAGCTTGTTTGTTATGAGGGCCAGATCTGACATAAATGAGACCTTGTTGGGCTGGGCCATGTGTGTCATAAAATGTAATGTCAGGTAGCAGCGATATAAATTTATAAAGGACACAAACAGATAGATTTTTGTAACTTAAAATAAAAACATGCTTGAAACAATTAGCACTCCTGCAATATTTTGTTTATTTAACAGTATATGATAACTGACTCCTCTTGTTCTGAATTACTGCATCAAAATGTCTGTGCTGTTGCAATCTTGAGTATGCTGTTCAAGTGTGTATCTGTAAGCTGCAAACCTACTTTTGATTTATTGACATTCACCACAGAAATCTCATGCTGAGAGTTCTGAGTCTAGGACCCAGGTTAAAACATGAAATGGCTGAATGATTAAGAGAGTCTGGCAAAGCAAGCTATGATGCAGCAACAGCAGCAGAACTGGAAGCAGGAGATGGCCAGTTCCACCGCGGGCCTGATAGATGCCCTCCGGGGGCCTTATCCAGCCCCCGGGCCACAGGTTCGAAACCCCCGATCTAAGCCAACGTATTTGAACGAGTTCAGTTTCATACAAAACTAAAAGCTAGAGACAACAGTCCTTGGTCAAGAACTTGCAATTTAAATGAAGAGGACAAAGCAAAGATGAAGAAAAAGGATTACTGTTCAGAATAAAGATTCAGGTGAGTAGCCATCTTGGTCTGAAGGAGCAGAACAAACTTTGAGTCCAGTGGCACTTTTAAGGCCAACAAAGTTTCATCCTGGGTATGAGGTTTCGTGTGCATGCACACTTCTTAGATATCCGAAGAACCACGCATGCACACAAGAGCTTATAACCAGAATTAAATTAAACTTTGTTGGTCTTAAAGGTGCCACTGGACTCAAACTTTGCTCAGAAAAAAATTAGGCATAATTTAGAGGAAGGCTAATCAGGAGACACATGGTACAGAATACAGGTTAAGCCATAGTGTTCCACAGATCCCTTGAGCCCCGCATTTCCAGCAGTAAAGGGAGGAGACAAGGGCATGTATCTTGCACAAAGATGAGAGAGCCCCATTCTGCAATTCACAGCATGCATCTGTACCTATACCTCTTTTCTTTGTTCTGACAGACTGAAAAATCTGCACATATTTCATGTATTTCGACCCACAATAGCATCTACATTCCTCTCCTTATAACTATTACATTTGCTTTTCATAACACTGCTATCATAGTGATACTTTACAGTACTCTTCCATCACGTTAAACTTGATTAGTTCAAGATTTCAGTTAATAGACATCCCTATTACTCATAGCATCTAACACAAAAGTACCTTCTACAGCATCAAAAGCAAATTAAAACAAGTATTAAGTGTTCTATGGATTGAATCATTCTAGACCGAGTCATCACTCATCGACAGAACTGTTTATTATCTTCCAGACGAAGATAAAGATCTCTGGTCTACTGTTCACAATAAATAAAACCATGACTTGAATTGCCAGCTCCACTTCTACAAGTCACAACAAGGGTATTTTGTAACATACAAAGCAGATTTAAATGTTATTGTGTTTTAATACAGCACATAAAGCTGTCTCAGTTCATCCCAAGAGTGGATCACACAGGGCCAATTTTATCACATGTACATTCATCAGATACACAGCAAGACAACCATCAGATGGGCACCTGAAGTACACTCCGGGTTTCTGGTGAGCAAAGTCAGGCATTTTATGCTGCCAGGAGCCTTTTTATTCTTTATTAGTACTTTACTACAGTTTTTATACATGCATGGGGGCCTGCACAGACACACTCCAGTTCATCTGCCAGTGTTAAATGATTTCTAAACAGGGGTTTTACAGTTTATATTGTTCCTCCTAATTAACCAGAGGAGCCAAGACATTTGCAAGCAGCTCTCTCCTGATCTGGCATTTCAGCTATCACAAATCCTACTTGATTCTTCAACAAAATGTATTTAGGAAATTTCAATGAATCCTTAAAAGAACTGGAGATTAAAATGGTTGAAAAGCAAGCAGACTGAATACCAGGAGGCAGGAAAAGGGCTGAAAGAAGAATGTAGATCAACCTCAACATTGATAGTTTAGCTACCCAAGAGATTATTTTTATGATAGGCATATCATAAAAAATATTTAAAGCTGTTCAACCTGAACTCCTGGCTATAAATTTATATGCCTATCGTAAAACTGGCCCCAGATGGCCCCCCTTTTTGAATGGTGTAGCCCTCTTACATAGCATGTAAAATGCTCTTAATGCAAAACATTCTGTCATTTTAGCATACAATGTAATTCTTCCAGTTGACCTACATTAAAATGTTGTGTGAATGATTTAAATAAAAATTTAATTATTTTGAAAATGTATACATTTCCAAACTTTGGTAGGAGGCACGCAAAAGCCACAGAACTAATATGCCAAAGATACAAATCCAGAAGTTTGAAGTCTCCCTGCAAAGCATTTGTGGCTTTTTTTCTGGTTGGTCATTTGTGTTGGTAGCTTGCACTCATAAGCCCAACAGAGAGCAGCTGATGCCAGAGAAAAACCAAGAACAAAGTCCAAAACATTCAACTGAACTTGACTTGCACAAATGATAGATCTGGAACTCTACCCTGTAGGAAACCCCTTCTTTTACAAGGTGCTGTTAATTCTAGCATTTCTTTAAAAATCCACAACATAATTGCTATTTAAGGGGGTGTTGTTTGAAAACGCCATTTAGCAATTGTATAGGTTAAAATGAACATTCTTTAACAGAGAGGTGAAACATACTTTTCATGGTGCCATCTTCATCGTCGTCGTCGTCATCATCACTGTTTATCACCATGGTCCCCAAGTCTGATTCTAGCATGGTGCTGTTATGTTCAATCATTGTTTGAGCACTCTCACTCATAGTACTTGTGGCCCTCATTGTGCCTGCACTTTCTGAACTACTCTTCACCATGGTATGAGAGTCCAGTTCATCTTCATCCTGCCAAAAAAACAATGACAAACAAACCTGAATCAGAAATTAGTTCCCAAAAACACATCTTGGGAACACAAGAACATGCAACCACACATTAACTCTCTGTAGAGTTCTGTTCCTTTAAATTAAAATACAACACAAAATGTGATCTAAAACACCCTTCTGACATACTGACTTTCAAGAGGCCTCAGATTTTCAATGGGTTTCCACAGATGTTAGTATTTTAGTGGACATTAAGGAGCACACTAGAACTCACTATTATTTTTCCTTGTTCCCACATATCTTTTCCTTTCAACCCTATTCCAAAACAAAACTGCACTTTTGTAGCTCAACATGCCATGCTTTGTAGCATTTCTCACACTTGCCCACTGCTTCTGGATACATTGGACCTTAAACACAAAGAGCTGATACAGAAATCGGGAAGCTGAGCAATAGAAGGAAAAGAAACAAAAGATCATGGTCTTTCATATTTCCCCCCTCCATTTTACATTGTCCCATGTACCTAAATGATTTTTCATAAAGGTACCTCTAAGAACTTTCAGTGGAAAGGTACACTGATAATTACATGATAAGATACCACTTGATCAATACCAAGAAAGAATTTCAGCACATCTCCAGCAAAAAGATGCAAACAATAAAACAAAGCAAGAACTCTCAGCACAGAATCATAAACAAACGAAGCCGGCCTCATACTTTTGGTACTTATAGCCTATTACTGTGTAGTCTGACTAGCAACTGTTCTCTGAGGCCTTTGCTACCCAAAGTTCAAGGGAGGGGCCAGGAATCTGTTTGGCATATAGAAGATCCCAGATTCAATCCCCAGCTTCTCTAGTTAAAAGAAGTAGTAGGTGATAAGAAAAATCTCTTCCTGAGACCCTGGAGAGCCACCGCAGTCTGAGAAGATCACACTGACCATGAAGAACTAGTGGTCTGATTCACTATAAGGCAGCTTCATGTGTTCTGGGGACCTGGGACCTTCGACATACAAAGCACAAATTCTTCCACTGAGCTAAGTAAGTCCCTCCCTAAGGGCAAAGATAAAAAGCTTCAACAGACAAGAGTCCATCAAAGCAAAAGGACATTGAAAACTCATCTCAACTGGCAAGACCAATTGCTTTCTTTTGTATATAGCTAAAGGATTTTTTCCAGCTATGATAAAAGGGGCAAGGAGAAAACCTGTTGATACTTTGTAGAAAAATATCTGCTGAGCAGATGCTTCGGGACTGTGGAACAGAGTTAATTCCAGCAAAGGATACAAAAGCATTTCCAATCAGTGGCAGTAATGTGCCAGGAATGTAAAACAGAGAACTGATGATAATCCAGTTCATGAATCATAAAATCCATATGGAATAGAAGTATTTGAAAACATTATTAGGAAATCCTACTCTCTTTCTGAAGTCAGATTTAGAATATGTGCACAATACCCCAACTATTTAAGAACTAACATGCTGTTCTATGCCTCAAGTGCTTTTACAAGGGCACATTTTACAACCCACAAAGAACAGCAGAATGCAAGGCGAGATGACTGTTGATTGCATTAAAACTTCCAATTAAAAAGTGTCTAATTTTAGGTGACTCCATAAAAAGCAAAATCTTTTATTTTAGTCCTTTTTTGAGAGCCAAATGAAATCAGCCAAAAGTGTGCCTTCACAGCTCATTCCAACATCATTCAAATTCAAATACTGCCTTATAGCGTTCAGTGCCTTAAAAGAAGGCCAAATGCCTCTAATGAGTACCAGGCAAAAAATAAGGGGAAAGAAAATGTTCTTGCAGCTACAAAAGCAATAATCTTGCAAAGTACTGACAGTGTGTCCAACAGTGCTCATGACACCAAATAAAACTAAAATCAGGTGTATGTTTGAGCGTTGTTTTTTTTTTAATCTCTACAATGGTCATTCAGATTCCTGCTTTAAATGTCATGGACCTAACTCTTCATATGGATATCTTTCAAGAGTTCCCCCCCCCCTACAGTGTATTTAGAGAAATATATTCCTTGCACACAACAAATAGGGTGTGCCACACAAAGGCCAAAATAGGCTTAAACAGGAAGTGCATCATCATCACCTTGTCTCCTGAACAGAAAGCATGGCTTATCCTCCTTTTGAACAAGCTTTCTGCAAGCTACATGCACAACAACTTTGAAAATTAACAATTAAAAAGAGTGCCACAAAAAGAAATGTGTGGAAACTACTTGTTACCACCATGCAGAGGCTGTTATTTTGTGAACAGCTTCTTTCCATCCCCTATTCCCACTTATTGCAAATGTATGCCTTCTAATGTTTAATTTCCCTCTTGAGTCTCTTCCATGTAATTTCTTTTCCTTCAGATTAAAGTAGCTTCAGTTAGCTACATTTCTAATAACCAACATCTTATTCTTGAACTTAGTTACAAGTTAGAATAGGAAACCTATTAGTTCATAAGCTGCCTTTAGTCCAAGTGTTCTTTTTCAAAAGAAAGAAAAAAGGGGGGAAAGGTTTTTTTTAAGTGACAGAAGAAGTACGTGACAAGCAATAGGATCTTATTAAACCACAAGTACAATAGTACTTTTGGAAATGGATCTTTCCAGGCTTTCCCTTCCCTCAATAGGCCCATGTGACTCCCCCAAAATGTGATGCTCAGGGCTCTTGAAATGCCTCAAGGAGCTGAGGTAAGGAAGGTGAAAGGGGCACAATCACCTTCCTCTTACGCTAGCAGGGTTTTCATTGGCAGAAGAGGCACTATTGACAGAAGAGGGAGGTGGGAGCAATTCTGTCCAGCTTGCTTTCCTTACTGCTCTGTGGCCTTTTGACAAGAACAGCAACAGTATCCCATGTGGAAGTCACTTCAGTTTAGCATTTATAACCACATATATTCATGTTACAGTACCAACATGACAAACCCACTGGTATTCAAGCCTGTTCAGTTTTAAACATGAAAATGTATTGTCTATAAAGAATCCCATGACTTATCTTTAATGGCACAATATTTACATACTGTTTCATAGATAACTGGTCTGATATCTTTTTTAAGCGCAATCCCACAGGAGAACACTTCAAATTTTCTTTGTTTGAAATACCTGGGGTATTTTGTCAAAATATATTCAGTGCCTAAGCCATTATACTGCTAATGCCGTTATACTTCTAATAAAAGGAATGAATTGGTGCTCCTCCTGGTGGGGAAAAAATAAAAACCTAATTATCAGCTTTCTCATTTATGCAACTATCTACCTTTTTAGAAGTCGACTGTCCGTCACACTTACAGTAGTAACCATTAACTTCTCTCTACCATACCATTTTATACATGTCAATTTTGTTACTTATTACAACCTTTCCTTCTTGAATCCAATCTACATAGTATGGTTGGGGAAAATCCCTGGATGCATACATTTGCTCCAGTTCATCTCTCCACTTTGATTTTAAAAATCTCAACTATTTGCTATAAGTAGTGATGGACTTCATCAAGGAATTGATAGCAACAATTAATTTCTGGCTAAGACAAACTGAAGTAGAAATCTTGATAAATACATAATAGTTATGAACCAAAAAATCTGTATAATGAAAGAAAAATTAGTTCTCTGAAGGCTGGGAAAGGAACAGTCTATTATTATAAAGACAGTTGTTTCTAGTTATGGCAGTGTATCATGTGTTTCATTCTGGAAAAAAACTAGTCCTGTATGTCATACGTGCTAAAATAGCCCATTTCTTCTTGGGAAACTATAAGATGTATACTGAATTCATATTTGCAGTCTGACTGATGCAACTGGGGGGAGGGGAATCTTTTCCTGTAGATAGACTAGTGACCATAGTCAGTCTTTACCCTTCCACACAGCATATGGTACATAACATGCAATTCTGCCACCCCAAAGCGTTTTATTAGTCTTGCTGGTAGTTATCTTGCATCGCAACTATCCATAGACTTTTCAAGAACATACAACTGTATGTAAATGGCATAACACTACATCACCATAGTGTAGGAAAACAGGTCTTCTCTTTTAAAGTGAGCAAAGAAAGAATCCAAGATTCATCTTAGAATAGATGAGCAATTTTAACTCATCTTGATCTGTACAGAATACAGCACTAGAGGGCAGCAGAGACAATTCAGAAGTAGAGCACATAACCAAGATTTACATACTAACAAAATTCAGTGTCTCGCGTAGTAATTTCACGTACTATTAACACCTCATCATCACCTTTGAAGGGGAAAAAATGTGGACACAGTTACAGCTATCTTTCCAAGAAAGTACTGTTGTAGCTGTAGCAACACACAAGATAAAAGGGTGCAGCTTTAGGAGATGGAAAAATAAAACCCAAAATGCATAGGGATACAGTTACCAATATATCTCAGCACAAACATGTATTTTCAGCAAACATTAAAGAACTATTGACTCTGGTAAAGCTACATCCTTCAAGAGTTCATGAATCAACTTCATTACATTTTTATCCATAGTAATAATCTCTGGCACTTCTTCCAACAAAAGATGACAGACATTAAAAATGATCATAAACATTAACAATTAGTTACACAAATACCAAGAAGGGGAACCTACATATCAGCTCAGATTCTTTTATGCTCTGATCTCAATTGACTATTTTAAAATAACACGACACCCTTGTATGTTGAGTTACCTTAGAAATGGACACGCTTCAATGCCATCTAAAATCATATTTCTTTCTCACCTTCTCATTCACAAAGGCACAGGGGATCTGTTACTTTACAAACTAATTTTCAAAAATTCAAACAAGTGATTCCATAAGAGTTTATTTTATTTCATTAAAATAGCTTAGACCCTATGCTTGGAAGAGAGTTCACTCTTTGCCGTTTCTATTCAAGCACCCTCCCCCCCAAATAAAAGCCACCCAAGAGGTCAGGGTATAATATGGGGATGCAGCACATTTCTGCATCAGCAGAAATGACTCCCCACCTTCTTGCAAAAGCCTTCATGCAAAGAAATGGGGAGCTGCAACTCCCTCCCCACTTCTGTATCCCATACCATTCCTGATGGTCCCAACGTTCAAATATGTCTTCTGGGAAGGCTTGGGAACAGGTGGCAAAGATCCCTTCTGCAACCAAGCAGCCAAGTCATGCCCCTCAATCTAAGGTACACTTCACTATCAAAAACAAACACAAAACATTTTCAATGTCTACCATAAATATAATATGTTTTGTTAGAATTCCCATTATTTTAAAAGCCATAGCTGGACAATATATTGTCTGTGCCGTGTGTGTATGTTGGGGGGGACCACTCAGTTCTGAGAATCCTACCCCATATTTAAAAGAAATAAAAGCTTCTAGCCCTCATGTTTTCAGGAACACATTTGAAAAAACTGATGGCAAAAACAGAAAAGCACTAGAAACAAGACGACAAGTCAAAAGAAGAATGAACACTTTTTTAAAAAAACTCCCCTGATGTTAAACTCTACTAATTTCTGTCTTAATTTTTAAGAAGTACTCTACAATTGTTATCAACAGATAAGAAGCACAAGAGAAGAACTGTAAATACAGTAGCATGGAAGGAAGCACACTATGCTGGTAAGAAGACTGTGCTTTCTTATTTCTTCCTGAAATAATTATTATTTGGTATTTGAATTTATTCACTGGAAGTGTTTTAAACGAATCTCCTGATGATGGATACTTAAATCTGAAGCAAAACATACAGTATGAGGTTGATTATTAGTTCATTTCTTTAAAGATCCACAGAAGTAAATATTTAGACATGTTTCTTGGGGGCTGCCAGGCAACGAGTTGCCTTATATTTCCATAATACAGCTGCCTGACCTCAGAATCAAATTTGCATCACACTTCAAAAATGCATAAAAGAAGAGACTGGTCATGTTTAGTAATGCTTAAACTAACATTTAAACTTTGATATTGGGATTAACCTTCTGTAGAGTACTCCGCTTGCACTTTTTACTTAATTAAAAAAATCTGTACAATTACCTCAACACCTATCAAAACATGTCAATTTGTCAGAATACATTTTCATCAGACAAGCTAGTCCTGTAACACACCCAAACTCTATTCCAAGAGTATTATTTCTGGTCATATTTAGTACAGCTTTCCAACAAGGAAGACTTACTGCTACTTGTTTATGAGAGCGGCCCAGGCTTACAGGTGTTCAGCTCAAGCTTTTGAAGAGACACTATATATTGAACTGATTACCATGGGCCATTTTCCTCTAACAAACTGCTAACAGACAATAGGCATGCCAGTTTTCTTATATAAACCTGACACTCTCTCTTCAATGACATCAAGAAACTTAAGTATCCAAGGAAGTCACGGTTAGGCTAGCTTTTCATAAGGCTGACTATATTAATTTTATTGTGCTCAATGTTATATGGATGTTCTAACAATAGCAAGAATTTATCTCTGCTGATGATGTTCTCAACACGGGCCTCTTCCACACAGCATTCAGGAAAGAAAAAGAATGGCCACCAAACATGTTGCTTCCATTTATCTTTCCTTCTCGCAAGAACAAGGATAACTGTTTAGAATAATATGAATCACAATTAACACACTTGTCCTTTCCTACGTAAACACTACGTAAATTAAATCTTTTATTTCACAAACACTGTCACAAGGGTAAAATTAAATCTTTTATTTCACAAACACTGATTGTGAAAAAGCACACAAACCTTTGAATTATTCAGAAGTTCTTGTCAGGCAGCAGAAACAAAAAGTACTCAATATATGAATGGCAAGAGTCAGATAGTTTACCTATGTAAATATATGGGCTGAATCCAGAACAAGGATTGTGCATCTTCCCCCTTTTCCATTCCCGCAGCAGCCATTTCCAACCCTAGGAAAGGTTGGTCAGAGACAGTGAGGAGGGGAGACAGAGGCTAAATTGCTCCCTTCTCCCCCCCCCCCGTGAGCTACACTGACAGAAGAGGCAGTCGCCCTCCCTGCTTCAGCTTCTTATCTCATTTATCCATTTGTCTACATCGGCCCCACATCTCCAGGAACAAACTTTCTCGGTCAGAAAGGACTGCTGGGGAAAGGGGAAGATCCACAACCAGCACTGTGTTCCACTGATGGTTTGTTGGATCCATCCTTTGAAACACATAAGATTGTTTTTTGACCAGGCCACTAAACACACAACACAAAACATTTATGGACAATAACGCACAATTACTATACTCCATCAGCCAAAGGCATGTTGCCTCTTTGTGCGCACGCGTGTGCGTGTGTGTGTGTGTGTGCCCGTGTGTTTTTGGCAAATCATAATAATATGTTAAAGAATTTACAGATGTTGCACAACAAGTCTCCTAAGCCAGGGTCAAGAGACAGCACACAAATGTGGTCATACTGAAATAACTGACCACGCACATCAAGGATGTCAAAGACTAGCTTTTCTATAAGCTTACACTGAAGAGCTCAAGCACTTTGTGTTTCAGCCATGTGAAACCAAACAGCTACCCCTGCAAAAGCAGCTGCTCTCTTCACAAACTACTTTAATCAAACAAAAGTGATTCTTTTAATTGACTAAGCAGTGAAGCAGTTACTAAAAAGAAATGTACTCCTGACTTTATTTTTTAGTTTACAGAAAATTCTGCTTCCCTTCAGAAGGACAGGTTTTTGGGAAGAGCCCTAGTTTTATTCATACCAGTGGTACGTATCACGTCAACATCTGACATGCCCTTCTCAACAGAAGACAGTAATTTTGCATCACAAACTGTTCCCCACTCCAGGGCTATAGCTGTGAGACCGTTTCCTTTACCATAAATGCAATGAATTATAATTTGCAACTTAAAATATGGGAACCTTATCAGTTAATTAAAAGTTGACCTGTAAATTTTATTTCCTTCATTCAGCCAAGTATGGGTGACCAGAATCTGAACTGCCAAACCGTCCACAGCTTTAAAATTTCACTGCTTATCCATTAAGTAGCAACAATATTTTGCATAATTCCATCACAATGAGTTAGACCATTAGCTTTCTTTTATTATCACAAAAACAATATAGTCCTCAAAGACCCCAATTATGGAAATAAATGCTGAATCAGAATAGAAATTAATATTTATCTGGCAAATGAATGGAAATTAATATTCATGTAATAAATAGCAACAACATACTGTGCTGCACCTAAACAAGAGAAGATTTATTCTTTAGTGCTGGGACATATCCTCGTCCTGTTAATGACCCTCCCACAGGTTCACTGACGGAAACCTTGTTACATACAGAAGACCTTGTAAATTCATTGTCCCCTTCGACTTTAGCGTACACCCTTTGGTAATCCTATTTCACATGACACCATAAAATGCCTTTTCAACCAGTTAAAGTTGGCAGGATCATGCTACACAGCAGGCCATATATGAAGATACTAGACTTCAGTCAAATTGGGAAGGGAAGGAGAAAACAAATGCAAACTAATTCAATGTTCATGCGTTTCAGGAACCCTTTCCCCCCCCTCCAAATTTACTCTGGGAACGGAATGTTAATTGCACAAGTATTATTTGACATGTCATGCATGGCCTGCATTATTCTATAACAACAGTGGCCGTGATCCAGAGGGAGGATATGCAACATCCTGGCACGTGTTCAAGTTGTTTTTGGAAAGCTCCCCTCTCAGAAGGTGCTCCCACAGAAACCATTCTTTAAATTCCCTCAAGTTCAAACAGCATCTGAGAGATCTGGCACAAAAAAAATGAGTGTTGCATCCCTTCAACAGAGAGGAGTTATCACGCCCCCCCCACACACACACACACACACACTCACGATTTCTCCTTTAAAAGGGCTCTTGCAACAAGCCCTACAAACTCCTAGGAGTAGTGCATGGGCATTTTTCAAGAAAAAAACCCACAGAGAAATCCAAGTGCATGCAACCTTCTCAGTCACGGCTGAAACACTCAACATTCGCAGATGATTGCTGCAATGGCTAAAGGAAACATATAAATATAGAAAACACAATTAAATTCTCACACACCGAGTTTTCATCCTCTTCTTCCAGTTCCCTCTGCTGCTCTTCATGCCTCTTCGCCTTGATTTCCATAGCTTCAGTAATCAGGTCTCTTAGAATTGAAACTGGTTTGGCATTCTTAATAAAAGGATGCTAGAAAATAAAACCAGCAGTTATATAAAAATGAAGCCTACAGAAGATCTGAACATACAATATAAATACAAACCAACATGTTAAAAACAACATGCCAATCAACTTCACAGAGCAGCGCATGAAAGAGCATTTCCCTTTGGACAGCAATTAAAATCTGGAATAAGAGAACATCTGATCTGTTTAACTGCTCTGCAGCTAAATAGGATTTTCCTTTTTTGTTTGTTTAGGTAAATAGCAACCATGAGAAGAATGTTACTACAAAACACAACTGCTTTATAGTTAAGGATATAATTGTCCGAAGGAAATGTGAATTAGGTGGTAAATAAACAAAGCGATGATAGCCTGACATACAAAAACAAACTTTTTAATGCATTCAGTTACAGCATTTAATTCATTTTAGCAAGCTGACAATGCAAATTAGCAACCACTATGGCTTTAACAAACCTGTATTTTAACATAAAATGAATCTTTCAGCCACTGGGAATGATGAAATATGAAGCAAAACTAGAACCCTCAGGATGGGCAAATTGCTTTACACTAAAAATAAAATCCATTATTTACTTTCCTGTTTAAGATCCAGTGTGTATGTTCTGGCCTTAATGTGAATTTGGTGCTAGTTACAACACCTGCTGTCAGAAATGCTGTCTCTTTTCTGTAAATTTCCCCCCACATATTTCCAGATTGGATACATGGGCTTTTAAAGCCAATCAACATGACACTTTTTGAAAGGGGGGGGGGTTTTGCTAAATGGTAAGCTTACCTCTGGTATCCTTAATGGTCCTTCATCACTCTATGGATTAAGGAACAAATATGGTGTATCTTTAAACGATTTCATGTTATGTTGCCAAGGGTCCTAATAATACAGTTTCTTTTTTCTCTTCTTGTGAAGGCCATAAGAGAACTCTTTTTGTAACTTCAGCTCAGGAACTTACTATTTCATCAGATTTCAGTGTAGGCAATGTACTCTTGCTCATTTGTTGCACACAACCAGGATCTTTTCCATCAAGGTTGTGCTTCTGGGATTTGACTTTCTTCCTAGGAAAATGAAGTCCATCCCTCTAAGATTGCAGATTTGTTGCTATTGTGACCAGTGTTCCCTCTAAGCTGAGTTAGTGTGAGCTAGCTCACCATTTTTTAGCCTCCAGCTCACACGTTTTTGTCTCAGCTCAGAAAGGATGGCTCTAGAGGAAACTAATTTATGTAGTAGCCAAATCGCTTGCTCACAACTTTAATGCCAGTAGCTCACAAAGTAGAATTTTTGCTCACAAGACTCCACGGCTTAGAGGGAACATTGATTGTGACTACCATGTAGGATGTGATCGTATGCACACCACAGGCACCTATTCATTATTGCCTGTGATATTATAAACAAGGTGCAATGAAACTCATGTTCTAATAGTAGCAAATGTAACTTTCCTGTTCTGCCACAATATCACAAGGGATTTTAGCTTTTTATTATCTCCCTCAATGTTTCCACAGTCAGTGGTGAGAAGGAGCATTCATGGCAGGTCAACTGAAAAGAAGATTTACTATTCTCAAGCAAAATTACACAGGAATAGGGCAGTGTGCTACTAGTGATGCATCAGGACCCACAGAAGCAGATCACTATGAAATGTAATTGAACACACATTTTTGATCATGCATAAAAGGATTAGAGTTTGCATTTCTTTCCCAACCTATCAGAGAATAGAGAAGAACTGAAACTACAGTGCAAGCTCCATGAAAAATGTAACCAGAAGTTTGTAAAGATTAATCTGTAGCACAAAGAGCAAGCATATAAGCTTATTATGAAATATTCAGCTGAATAGTGAAGACTATTAAAGATATGAGAAGAAAGAGGAAGGAAAAGACGAGCAGCAGTGAGGGGATAAAATAAAATCATATCAAGATCTGCCAACTTTTAGAAAAGACCTAGGAAGATCCTGTTAGTTACAGGAATGAAAAGAGTGGTATTCCAAATGCAGCAATGGCTAAAACCAGCAGCAGCATGCTTAGAGCCTTACTAGATGTTACAGACAACACGAGCTCTCCATAGGGACTTGCAGTTCCTGAGGCAACTCAAGAGAAAATGTGCAGTAGGGCCCAATTTAGATCAAGACCACTGCACAGGAGAAGCCAGAATTCCTGCCTTCTCTTCCCTGCTGCACATTTACTCAGAAGTTGCCATCAGGAACGAGCAGTTACAGTATAGCTGCAAATCCCCATGGAGAACCCACACGGTTTGGGCTCTCAGAAAAACTTGTGAAAGACCTGGGCAATAGAGACGAGATTGCCTGGACTGACCTCTCTAGTATGCCCAGTAGATTTCTCTCCTTCCTCTAAGGTACACCTGAACAACAGAATGAGGAAAAGGAACAGTTTCCACTTCCTGGAGCTTGCCCTATGGATAGGGCTGCCAACATCCAGGTGGAGCCTGGAGATTTCCCACTTTTACAACTTATTGCCAGACTACAGACATCAGTTCCCCTGGATAAAATGGCTGCTTTAGAAGGTACGGCATTGTACCAGGCTGAGGTCCCTCTCTTCCCCAAACTCTACCCTCTTCAGGCTCCACCCCAAAAATCTCCAGGTATTTTCCAACTTGGAGCTGGCAACCCTGCCTACGGAATCAGAGTAGGCTCTTCTTCTGTGCCCTGAAGAGCCCAGAATAGCAGGGACATATGGAGCAGAAAGACCAACATCCAAGAAGAGGCATGAATTTCAGCCAGGTTCACTATTTTCCAGTCTGAAGCCGCTACATACGAACCTGCAGGAGTTGTGTTGCAGTAGCTCTCTGCTCAGGGTTCTTCACTAAACACTTTTTCACAAAATCAGTGAATTCATCAGACCACAACTCCGGCTTCCGGAACGTCGGAGGGGGGTTTGTTGGAATCATAAAAATTGCCTATTGTTTTAAAGGGAAGGAAAAGAAGTCTGTAAGACTATCAAGTATTTCAAAAAATTAAAACAATATGTTTTTTCAGGCTGAAAACTGGAAGGAGAGAGAGTTCATTCCAGTACCACTGGGATAAAGAAAGCAAATTCTCAATACAGTAGTTCCTCTCATTAAACTGTACACCTCATGACAAGATTTCACCATCTCTGCTGAAAAGTGAACATGCTTTCTTGGTTATGCATATGCATAGTAATCAGCTGGTTGAATGCTTAAGTACTGTAAATATAATCTAATTTATTAAGTTTTAGGAATGCATTCAAGCAATTAGAACTTTATCTCATTAAAAAATTAATACAGTACATTTATTTGTTAAAGCAGATTGTTTCTAATACTATCAATATATTACACAGCCGCATCTTATTTTAGGCTGGCATCATGGAAGCCATTGCAACCTAGGCCTTGCCCACAGCAGAGGGAAATAAGAAGCAAGGCATTGCCACTCCTGGAAAACGAGATGATGCTGATTCCTCTTGGGTGGTCTGTGGCACTTACATTATTTCAGAGTCACAGAAAGGAGTCATGTTGTAGCAGTTCCTACATCAGTAGCACAACATAAGGGATGGGGGGCTGTGAGATGAAAGAATTTTGTTATTACTGCCGGGAGGGAATATTTTTTTCAATGCCACCCCCCATAAAGAACTACTCTACGCAGAATAAACCAGCACACAAGAGATAAATAATTAACATACGTTTCTTGTCAATAACCTAGGCCCGATATAGGCACGTTTCAGAAATGTTTCTCAAATGGATTAAAGGGGCTGTCCGGCGTTCCCCAGCCGTACTCAGCTCGTCTTGTAACGCTTCCCTCCCGAGTTTAAAAAGTACCCGGCGAAAGTGGTAGCAAACCCTGGAGAGCGCGTTCATCCCGCTTCCTGGAAGTGTGAACGGCGAAAGCCACAATTGCCAAAAAGAAAGCCGTGCCTTACAGCCGCGCCTCCACCAGGGGCGGGCCAACAGTGCGAACACTCCCTTGCGCCTCCTCCCCGGTATGCTCCTGCATCAGTCGGTGCAGTGTGACCAGGAATACCCAGAACAAGTTGTTCCGGGTCTTTTTTGCCACAACTCCCTCGCGCTTTATACTGCCAGTCTGTCCTCAGCCCTAGTTTACTACATGCAGGGTTTTTGCTTTTTGTTCTCCTACTGGTTATGTATATAAAATGCCACCCCCACCTGTAATCTCAAGCGTTACAATATAATCCTGAATTCTACCACATCATTCTGAATGATGTACAGTACAAATATCACAAGACTTGAACTCCAGAATGTCTGTCATGCCTGCTCCCCTAAACTGGAATTCCATCCTGTTTTGAAATCCATGATGATGGCGGCGGCGGCGCACACAGACAAACTACAATTTGTTCAAACATCAGCATTCACACATTGTGGGAAAGACGATGTTTTCAACTCGAGATTGTTTTCATCCTCCACAGAAGAAAGGAAGTAAACAGGCATGACAAAACAAGCTGCATTTGTGTCCAATGTGGCAAACTAGAGTTTAGTTGTGCCTTAGTGTGACAATTAATTGTGACCAGTGCACAGGGAAAGACGAAAATGGTAAAAAAGTAACTTCAGTTTTGCAAGTGGAAAAAGCAGTCACCAACATTTTATGAACAAGCATTAGACCAGGTCAGTTCAAGTACTCCTGCTTCAAGAATAGTTCAGAGAAGCAATCATTAAGCTTCAGAGAAAACGGACCACAAACCTAACTGCCCCACCTAATAAAACAGAAGTAACCCCTGGCTTTCTTTAACTTTTAAAAAAAAGAATACCTTGGAGTCAGGGTGTCTTCAAAGTAGTATTTCTTACAAAAGGTAAACAAATATCTAAACAACAGATTCCTCTTATAGCCTCAAATAGCCCATAAATCCAAATTAACTGTAAACCTAAAATTTAAAACATAGTGCAGGAAAAACATTTACTCCCGACCTTGACACTGATCAACTTGTGAACTTTGATTTGATACACAATCGCATAAGTCAGCCTAATATAGCAGTAGCTATCAAAAAACCAAAGCAGAGTGGAATTGGTTTAACTACTGTTTATATAGTATCACCGTCCTCATCATTGAATGAGCTGAAGTTCTATATAGTAATTAACACTGACCTATGACACACTGACTCAGTAGAAACTTTACTACATAAGCCACCATATACAGGATCATTAAAGCAGGTTCCAAAGCCTTCAAAGATTTTTATTTCACTTTACAAGGTTGCTTGGAATCAACCCCACAGCAATTTTTTTCCAAGTACAATACTGAATTGCTTTTTATAGCCAAACAATTAGCCACACGAAGCAAACAAGCATTTCTCACAGTTAAATACTCAATATTAGCTGAGTTGCTAAGTCTGCACTGAAGTAGATGAAAATCAGATCCTACTCAGAGTCCTGTAGTAAGACAAGCAACAGCAACCCTGCCATAATGTGACACATAGAGGTTAGCTATCATGTGGTCATGTAAGGAGATCTAGTCCACTGATACAACAGGAGACTTCTGTGTGTCAGACCAACTGCCTACTTCTGGAGGGATGAGCTATTTCCTACGCGGCCTCAGAAAAGCAGCAAAGACAAGAGTAGAACTAACCTTGTAATGTGTATTCTGTTTAAGTTGCCTTGGGAGCAAAGGGGAGTATAAATGATTAAACAAACACACAAAACAACAACTAGCCATATTTAACACCTCTCTTTTGTCCCTAATGGAAGCTCAAAGCAAGTTACAACCCCCTTCTCCAGTTTATCCTCACAGTCACCTTGTAATGGTTGGTTATGCTGAGAAAGAGCAACTGATCCAAAGTCAGCAAATGAGTTTCTGCGGCAGAGTACGGATTTGAACCTGGGTCTTCCAGATCCCACTCCAACACTTCAAGCACAACATCATAGCAACAACCAGTGATTTGTTCTGCTCAATGCCTTGTTGAATTAGGGCAGAAGAAAAAAGGGAAAGGTAAAAGATGAGACAGACCTTTCTCTCTCTCCTCCATTTCTTCTACTGCCACAGGAAGAAGCTGATTTTTATATCCCGCCCTTCACTACATGAAGGAGTTTCAAAGTGGCTTATAATTGCTTTCCCTTCCTCTCCCCACCACAGACCCCCCCCTGTGAGGTAGGTGGGGCTGAGAGAGCTCTGAGAGAACTGTGACTTCCCAAAGTCACCCAATAGGCTTCATGTGAAGGAATGGGGAATCAAACCCAATTCTCCAGATTAGAGTCTGCTGCTCTTAACCACAACACCACACTGGCTTCATACAAGTCACCATGATCCTTTTAACTATGATGGAGTTGATTTATATAGGGCTGCCTGATATTAAAACAACAATAAAGAGAGTCTGGGATGGATCAAATCATGTGGAAATTCAAAGGGTCAGTCTTAGAAAATTGAATCCATAATCTTCAGTGTCCACCTCAGTAATTTCCACAGATATATGCACAAGAGAGGCTTAATTCATCCATTTTGCTATCACAACACCCCTTAATCCCAAAGCACGTTATTAGCTGATGCAGAACAGGCTGGACCTGTAGCCTACCATATGACCTGAGCCCCCCCAAAAAACCCTCTTGAAATCTATCATGGTTGACATGATAGCCACACTGTTCTGAGCAATACTTGGAAACCTGCCCTCAGAAAGTAAACTGAAGTTCACAGGGAAACAAGCTTCAGTGACCTCCTCATCAGGCCCAAGACCATCTCCCATTGCAACAGAATTCCTGAGTTCCCAACATCAGCTACAAACCTTCAAAACTGGCTATGCTCAACCATGGCTGCATTACAGAGGGGATAATACCTCAGTAACTTCAATTTGCTGTCCGCATTTATCCCCAGGTTGATTCTGCACCAAGCATCTGGTTGCAACCTCTGGGTCAATACAAATATTCCAGCTGTGAAGGCCTGGGGAAAACAGACCAATTGGGGGCAGGTGATGTTTTGGGTTTATTCATTTTTTAATGAACAAATTGGAAATTTGGGGTTGGCACTGAAGAAAGTGCCTATGGAATGTTTTCTCTACTGGAATAAGCAATATATTAGCAGTAAAGCCCGTTGTGAAAGCAATACAACGAGATCTAGAAAGAGGCTCTGGGGCAGTGCTCTGGCTTTGGGCAAACAGTGTCAATTTGCTGTGGTGACCTCAGCAGGGTATAATGACAGAGTCCACTGTTTTCTCCAGAGGAACTGATCTCTGCTACCTGAAGAGCAGTTGTAATTGTGAGTGATCTGTAACCCTCACCTGGAGATTGGCAGCAATTGTTACCCAGGACAAAGTGGCTGGTTTGGAGGGTGTAGTCTATGGCATTCTACCTGTCTGAGGTCCCACCCCTCTGCAAACCCCACCCTCTCCAGGCTCCACCCCTCAAATCCCCAGGAATTTGTCAGCATGTAGTTGGCAACCCCATCTCCTTCCCAGCTAACCATCAACCTACCATTATCTGTCCCTTTGACTTCAGCTGACTTCTGCCCTCCCTTCTGCAGAGCAGTTGTAATTCTGAGTGCTCTCCAGCCCTCACCTGGAGATTGGCAACAATGGTTCCCTATGTGGGACTGACTGGTTTGGAGGGTGGAGTCTATGGCAGTGTACCTGTCTGAGGTCCCACCCCTCCTCAAACCTCACCCTCTTCAGGCTCCATCCCTCAAATCTCCAGGAATTTCCCATCTGGAGTTGGCAACCCTATCAGGACTGGCCCCAATGTGTTTTCTCCCAAAGGCCAAAGTAGGTGACAGGACCAAGCTTAGTTGCCTACCAACAGGCACTGAGGGGAATGTAGGGTTGCCAGCTCTAAGGAGGGAAATACCTGGAGGTTTGGGGGGTGGATTCTGTAGAGGGCAACATTGGGCGGGGGGGGGGCGGAAGGACTCAGCAGGTATAATGTCATAGGGTCTACCCTCCAAACCATCCATTTTCTCCAGGGGAACTGATCTCTGTCATCTGGAGATCAATTGTAACAGTGGGAGATCTCCA